GTGACGCCGCCTGAAGTCCTGCATCTGTGTACATTCTTTCACAGTCGGTCGTCATGTGAATGCATGTCCCAACGCTACATCCCTCACTTGTTCTCCGTGGGTGCCGTAGTGATGGCGGTGACTCCGCACGTGCACTCGTGAAGGGCGCTGTTGAAGGCACTGTATGCACGGTTTGACATTTCGTGCAGGTTGACGCGAGCCCCGTGTGTCATTGCTGGGAGTACGCACTTTTCTTCGTCACGTATATATGTACAGGGTAATCGGCGTTCGGGACGGGACAAATGCCCGAACCCGAACGCCCGAACGTATGGGACCCCTTGGGGATGCGTTCGGCCGTTCGGGCCGAACGCGGACCCAAAAAAAAAGAAAAAAAGAAAAAAAAACAATCATCAAAAAAATCTGAAAAAAAATATGTTATAGAAAAAAATAAATTTAACAAGATTTGCCTGAGCATTACATCCGAATTCATTACCAAATTTGAAATAAAAATAAAATACCGAGAACCAATACTAATAATAAAAATAAATAAAAATAAAAAGAGAATTAAATTTAGTAAGTGCACTAGCATATTTTCGACACCGCCATCTTTGGCTATTTTTCATTTTTTTTTGGCATCGCTCAATGCCCTGAAAGTTTACAGATGTGTACTTCATATAATACAAAACCCACTAAAAAAGTTTCAAAAAATAATAAAATTGTTTAGACCCCGAACTAAAGTGAAAACAAAAAGTAAAAAGTGGAAAAAAACGTGGGCGAGCACGTTTTGACACCGCCATTTTGGCGATTTTTAATTTGTATTTGGCTGATCCAAATAACTTGAAAATTTATAGGCATGTACCTATTGTCATAGAGAACTCACAAAAACACATTCAGAAAAAACAACTTATTTTTAGGCCCAGAAATATTTTTTGGCGGGGGCCAAACACCGTCGGGTTCGGACCCCGTACGGGACCCCGAACACCCGTACGTACGGATGTCTGCCCGGGGACCTCCGTACGTACGGGCTGGTGACCCTGTATATATATATATATATATATATATATATATATATATATATATATATATATATATATATATATAAGGTAGTTTCCCGAGGTTGGAATTTTCCCGGCCTGGATGGGTGAAATTGACGTTGTCATTCTGGGAGCGCATCCTGGCAGGGAAAGGTCACCGCCAACACTATAAAGGTCGGTGCATGTCTGCTGGTTTTCGTGTCCTGGGCTTTGTGGGCGTCCATTCCTTGCCACGCATTGGGGTTGTGTTTGAGTGCGCTGGGAGTTGATCATCCTCGCCATCGCCAAACACCACCGTTGTCTTCACTTGCGCGTCTCTCTCTTGTTTATCTGTCCACAGAGTCGTCCGCGACACGCGACAGACTCACAATGCCTTCACTTGCGAGACGTGGGAGAGCGATCGGTAGCGCATGGCGCCACGTGGACAGTACCAATTCAAAAGGCGAGAGGGCGGATCCGGCGAAGGCGCTGGCAGGCAAACTGGAAGGGGGCACGTCCCGGAGTCCAAAAAACTGCGCGGGGTTGACGGATCGGAGGGCGAGATGGGGGGTGAGGGGGGACAAGACGTGTCGCCCATGGATATCCTTTCCACGGCCACGCCAACGCGCGGGTTCGGGAGAGACTGTGTCAGCAGGGAGCATATGATTGCACTGGCCAACCTTGGTCTTCCAGGGACTCCACGTGGCAGCGGGATAACCGTGCGTTCTCAAGGGATTGTCATCAACGACATAACACCGCAAAGGCCTATCAGTTCAACTTCAACGATCATTTCCGTTGTCGAACGCATGGATAAAGGACAAGTCCCTGTGTCCTCCTTGTGCCACGTGCCACCGCCACTGTTGTGGGAGAAAGGCGAGAATATTGGAGGGTCGAAGAGGCGGGGAGGAAAGAGGAGAGGAGGGATGAGATTCCGCGGGCAGACTGCGAGGACGACGACTCTCTGAACTTGAGGAAGAAACGAACGCGTCAAGAGGAAGAGTTGGAGGCGAAATCCAAGCTCTGGGTAGACGAGAAGACGTTCTGGGGAAGCGGACCTGGTTGCATGATTGCAGACGCCGTGCATGACTGCGCGAACTATTATTGTGCAATCGTGAACGGTGATGCAGGCGCCACCGCTCCACATGGCGTCATCATGCCAGGCCCTGATGTTCTGCACGTGCGAATCGTAGATCTTGCGCCACGAGAGCCAACTCTGCGACGGGCGAGACGGACGGAAAACGTCGCTATGCGCGTCATCCATGGGTGGATATTCAGGTCGTCTTCAAGGTCCGATGGTTTCGCCCGCGCCAAATCGTATGTCGCCGTCGATTACCCCACCGATATGGTGAAAGTAGTTAGGCAGAGCATGGAGTGGTCGAGGGTAGTGTCGGCTAGTGTCGTCTACCACACGCTCGCTCTAAAGATGGACATTCCATTGTGGTATCCGTGGGCATATATCGAGGATAGGCCCCTTGACGACGACATGGCAGCCCATCAGGAGTCCACGGTGATGCATTTGGCGTCATGCTTTCACGATGCGCTCCGAGCTGGGCAGTGGTCCGATGACGGGAAAATGTCCCAGTCAAGACTTAGAAGAGTCACAAACGCTTTCCGCCTGCTTCTCGCCTTGTGCATGTGGGTCATGCGCATGGGGGGCGACGATGCACACTCCTATGAGGAGGCGTCGTACTACGCACAGTTCGTGGCGAAGCCCACGATTGTGGCGGCTGGTTCGCGGTCCTTCAACTGGCGCAGGCATGTTCTCAAGTCCGCGAATGCCGTATTGACTCGCCTCGGGAAGCCGCCCTTGACGATGGGTGCGTTTCCTAACTACATCTCGGACTGGGCTTCATGTGGAGCTACCACACTGGTTTGGCGGACCCCGACATCGTGGCGAAGATGAACTGGATGGGGACGGGACCTTTTTGATGGTGATCGCAAGGACGGTCCCGATGACGACGTAGGGAAGTAAATTTGGTGGATATGGCCGTCCTGCGCATCGTGGCAGCATGCTTCGCCCGTGGAGTGGAATGGTCCGCGGACTTTGGTGGCACGCCCGTCATTTTGGTTTGTGTATGGTGGGTGCAGGGGCAGGGGGGAAGGGGTGTCGACGCAGGGTTGGCATGGGGGTCAAGTTGGCAGGCGAAGGTAGGGTTGGCTAGGGTCCGGGCGGGATGGGGGGTTGGGGGGGGGTGGATGTGTACATGCGTGTTGGTGATCGAGGGGCGCTTGGAAGTTGATGCAGCCATTTTGTTTCGCCATAGTCATGTAGTGTGCCACGTCGCCCGCCGACGCGCATGTTCATGGCAGCCGATCATAGATGTGGTTGTTTTCGTTTTCGATTTCTTGCGGATTTGTGCAGTGCATGCACTGCTAAGTGAAGGCCATGTGATTAATGGCACCTTTTCGGGGATGACACGAAAAGAGGGGATGCATTTTCTCAATTTCTTTCATTGGTTGGTTGATCGGTTGATTGATTGATTGATTGATTGGTTGATTGGTTGATTGGTTGATTGGTTGATTGATTTATCGTTTGGTCGGTTAGTCGGCCGATCAATTGATCCATTTAATGATTTATCGGTTGGTCGGCTAATCGCTTCATCGATTCATCGATTGATTCATTGTTCGATTTATTCGTGGTTGAATTAAGTGGCCTAGGAAATGCGCATGGATAGACAAAAAGGTGCTTCTTTTGTTGCTGCATGAACTGGATGACACAAAAAATCTGCATCGAACGATTAACACAACAAAAGAACTCATAGATGACACGAAAGCGCATTCAAGGACGCAAATATGAAAAAACTGCCACAACAAATACGACACAGCCGTTTGCGAAAACATCGTCATGGATCGGCGCTCCGTCACTCTTCAAAGGTTCGCGAAATGATTAAAAGTCATGCCAAGTAAATGATAGTAAAAGGAAAACAAAAAAACGTCTCAACGAACAAGACCATAAAGTAAATAAATCAAAACAACTGCAGTGATCCTGCAGAACTGTTCCCAGCACCCTACACTCCCGCCGGATCACAACAATAGCCGCCGCCTCTCGTACATCACCAGTCCCCCCCCCCCCCCCTTCCCCCCGTCTTGGAGATCGATGCCGTAGCTACCGCCGTCGAGGGAGTTTGCGCGTTTATGCGTGCTTCATGCGCTCCGCCAACGCTTCGCGCAACACGAGCGCATGAGGCTGATTAAAGTTTTCCACGATGGGGGGGGGTGGGTGATCCAACCCCAAATCCACACGTCGGCGCGCACCATTAGCGTCCACCTCCCACAACAAGTTCTCGTCCAAGTCCATGCCAACATCGAGGAGGATGTTGTGCAAAATGCACACGACTTGGAATTGGTGCAGGAGAGTGTCCATATTTGTCTTGTGTGTGCGGAAGAACAACCTCCACACCCCCTTCAATCTCCCGAAAGCTCTTTCCACTGCTCCTCTGGCGACCTTCTGCTTGTTGTCGAACCTCTCTTCGTCGGCGCATTGATCGGTCCCCCCGTAAGGCATGACGATCCACTCCAGAGGAGGATAGCCGTTATCGTCGAGAATGTACCAGTGTGTCTTCACTCCGAACGGGAGCACCACAACAGGTCCACGAAAAAGATCCCCCTCCTCCGCACGTGCCCACAGATTGGAAAGTTGAAGCACGCGAATGTCATGGCAACTCCCTGGATAACCGACGAAAACGTCAGACTCTGTGATGCGCAAGTCCAAGTCCACCACCACCTGCGCAACAACGGAGAAACGATGCGTCCGATCGAATGGTGCGTTCGCCAGTTTGTCCACGTATATGTGTGTGCAATCTATGCATCCATAGCAGTAGAGGAAACCCTTGGCCTCAAAGGCGCGCAGAACGAGCACCCGCTGCAACCCAGAAGGCCAGTCGATGTTGTCACGGTACACCCTCAGAAGCGCCCTGGTGACATCCTCGACTGCGATCAAGCCTGATGCGCATCCTATGCCGAATGACGATGTGTTGCTCTCGTACGTCTCCCCGCTCGCCCATCGATACAGCGCATATGTGATGATGTGATCTGGCATCAACGGTACCCTGGAGAATGTCACCCTCCGCTGCAGAAGAGGGGACACCGCCTCCACAATCTCCCGGAACACCGTAGGGGACATCCTCAGCTTCTCCTTGTAGTAGTCGTCTACCTCGTCGTCCATCTTCCGGAGATCCTCCTATGTGCCTCCCATCCTTCTCCTCATCCACCACCTCGGAGTCGCCCGCGGGATCACACCGGATGCGATGGCGCAGCAAAACTGGACAATGGATTCCGACATGGATACACACTGTTACACAGTCGGGCGCCTCCATCACTTGTTGCAGGAGCTGACGCTGCCTGCGAATTGACAGTCTCATCTTGAGGCGCCCTGTCGTTCTTTTGATGTGATATCGCATGGCGACTACCGAAACAGCTGCAACCACCGCATTTCTCTCCGAAGTCGTCAAGGCGTTGCCACCGTGCTGCAGCTCTCCGACCATGATGACGTCGCGCAATGCGCTTTTCACCACCCTCTGCGCCAGCCGCTGGCACCGTCGTTCCACTCTCTCCGCGTGGACGGGGAAGGCAACAGTCTCACACAACTTCGACGGAGGGGCGACGTGTGACCTCTGCTATGGCGGCCCGTCGGATTGTCGTCGACACCCCCAACAGGAACGTGGAACCCGTTATAGCGGACTCACTCCGAGATTGTCACTGTCCGCGCCACGTCGGCACACGTTCCATCACCCGCGCATTCAACGATGGCCGCCGCAAATCCTCCGCGCAGACGTTTCGCTCTGGTGTCCGCTCCAGCGGTCTACATGTCACGGTGCGTCGATGCATATCAGCCAAGGGTTTGAAATTTGAAATTTCAAAAGGGATTTTCACGCCTGTTTTTTTCTCCAGCGGTCTCGTGTCGCCGCCACCGGACCACGCCTGAGGACGGATGGACATCCCACCATGACGACATACATCCACCCCCCCGACCACGTATATGCGTATGAAATTCGCCGCGGGAGACCTCCAAGGGTTTTCCTTGGGACCCATTCTATTAGGACGCGGTGTAACGACACCGCCAAAAACCGAAAAAAAATCCAAGGAGTTCATCCTAATTCCTGAGGATTTTCCAAGGAGGGTCTAACGAGGCCCGTAGACCCAAAGGAAGCAGAAGTGGAAGAAAACGAAAAAGACACACAAGACAAGAGAGAGAGAGAGAGAGAGAGAGAGAGAGAGAGAGAGAGAGAGAGAGAGAGAGAGAGAGAGAGAGAGAGAGAGAGAGAGAGAGAGAGAGTACAGTATAAAGAGTACGCAAGGATAAAAAATAAGTCTCCTGAACGAGACTTTCGAATGAATAAACATTGAAATCCTGGCGGCGTGGACCCTATAAGTCTCCCAAACGAGACTTTCAAATGAATAAACATTGAAATCCTGGCACGTGGACCCTACTAGTTTCAGCCCGCTGCCACGGGCACTCATCAGGGGTCTTTAGTGGCGCGGAAGGTACTGATTGTAAATCAGTCTGCCTATTTATATCCTGTGTAGGTACCTAAAGATATCCTACAGCCGTCGATTCAGATCAATGAATGTAAAACTGAAGAAACTGCCGACTTTCCCAGCGCCCTTGGCTTCATCGGTATACCTGCTACCATTATCGAATTTGAACCAAAAAACTCCCCCAAAACATCCTCCTGGGCSAGATACTGCTGGCCTYACTGTATTCAATTCAAATCCTAGCAACTATTCACTCCACCACGTCCTTAAAAAACTGAAACACCCAGTTCGCAATATCGGGACTGAAACTGTCCGACCTTCCACTGTTAGGAGACCACAAACATCTCTCGAATCACCTATTTATTGTCAAGTTTGACTTTCCACAAGTTTATTATTGCAACCCATACCCCACTAGAGTCCCGCACTAGAATTCCACACAACTTTCCATGGCCTTCCACGACTTTCCACAACTCTCACACCCCACAGGAGTCYCGCACTAAAAACCAGAGGTACCAGAACCTCAGTCCTATACTAAAAACCAAATGCACTTAAACCCAAGTCCCTCATTCGGGTCCCTCACTATGAGTCAGAAACAGTCCACACTAGAGATAAGATATCCTACTACTTGGACCTCGCATGCAACATCCATGACCCCACTAGATTCCCGAGCTAGAAACCAAATATGCTAGAAAAGGGGCAGAAAACCAAGATGTGGGTGTCGGGGAGAAAAAGCCAGAGACAGCCAAAACCAGACCACTGGAAAAACAATGGGGGACCTCGCGCGTCTTCCCGCTGCTGCGCTCTCAGAGCTAGCGCTGTTTTTGCACTAATCGTCGGGGTGGGTGCGCTAATCGCGCAACTTTGTTTTGCATCCGTTCCTCCAAGGCGATTAACCCTAACCCAGACTAGACTTGGTGGCCGCATGGTGGAAGCAGACATGGTGAGTAGAGGTGTGCTTGACGACATGAAGCTCACGCCCTTTGTTCGTTATCGTCGGCCCTGCTGGAGTGATATCCACGATTTCGTCCGAGTCCTTGGTAGCCCGACCCTTAAGTGGGTCGGGGAACGTTATGCGTTCGAGCGAATGTCTCTTCTAACAGCTCCCACACCAACCCGCGAGTGACGTTCAACCTCATGCCCTCCACTGTCTTCCGGTCAGAGTGATTAGTTGTGCGAAATAGGCCCTGAAAGACAGCAGAATGGGGTGTGCTAAGGATTTTCAGAAATTGAGTGTAGGGACATAGATGGAACTGAAGTCCCCCACGTGGTTTCAATTTAGTAAGAAAAGGGTCATCGCAGCGGGGGAAGGGAACAAACGCGCGCAATTTTCAAACATCCATTTAATCCAAAAAGGATCGTTGAACCTTCATGCTGGCTATTGGTCATCTTTTAGAGTAGAAGGGCGAAGGTACGCACTTGGGATCTCGTTTTCGAATCAGATCCCGACGCCGCTCGTTACAAAGCTCGGAATCCGACATGGACGACCTTAACTGGGCTGCTCGTTCCTTGTGTTTCTCTGCGCCACGTGTTTGGTAGTGGAACCCCGTTTTCCGATTAACGCTCTGCACGACGACAATCACTACACAGAGTGTTGGGCGAGTAGGGTGCTACCGCCGCCCATGGGATGACGATCAACTCATTAAAAGGCAATAACAATGAGTATGGAGGGAAAAAAATATCGATAATGACTAAACCAACACCTAGGAATCCAAAGCACCTTGCCTCAGGTGGAAAATAACAGCGCCCGCCGATCTTGGCAATGGCTTCCCGTACATCCTACTGGCAGACACGAGTCCTTTCCTCGTTATACGGAAACGGCCGCGATGGGGATGTGTTGGGCCAGTGGGGTGCTACCGCCGCCCATTGGATGACAATCAACTCGTTAAAAGATAATAACAATGAGTATGGAGGGAAGTGAACATCGATAATGACAAAACCAGCTCCTACAAATCCAGAGCACCTTGTCTCAGGTGGAAAATAATAGCGCCCGCCGATCTTGGCAACGACTTCTTGTACGTCCCACTTGCAGACACGTGTCCTTTCCTCGTTATACGGGAACGACCACGATAGGGATACGGGGAGTCGAAATCTAGACGAGTCGGTGTCGGCGCGAATACCCTTATAAGGGTATCCGCCCTGTTTTTTGCAAATGACAGAAAAATAAGTTTGATTTAAAGTTGAGTACACCTCGCAGGTCGCGGTTGTGCATGTTGTTTACGTTTACTGAGTAATTGACTAGAGTAGAGAGTGTGTGGGAGCACAGACTAAAGGCACGTGTGATCTCTTTTCTTGTTGATGAGTGTAGAGCCGACGTGGTTACCGGCTAGATTTTCGTTTGAATTAAATTAAGATAATTTTAAAAACTTTTTTTTTTATCGGTACGTTTGACCTCGACATGTGCGTACGTATGAAGGACAGCATCGAAGGTAGAATGGCTTTGAAAATCTTTCCGTAAATCCGCATATTGCGCAGCACACACTTATATAGACGTCCGTTGGTAAAAGACTCGGCCTTTGGGCCTAACACTACTTGGTTGCAATGTTGGACTTTCATCCGAGAGACTAAGGGAACGAAGTCAGCGGGTGGCGGGCATGGGAGCACCAGACCATCACGAAGGAGTCATGGGATCGAGGGCCCGATGGGGTTATCCCCCTTGGTTTTGTCGTCAGTGGAGTCAGAGCGGTACTAGCGGTTCCTTTTCCTCGTCTGTCGTTTTTTGACGACTAAAACTTTTCTAGATATTTTATTATTTATCGTTGTTATTTTTATTTTCCTATTTCATCTTTTGGAAATGGGCATGGTGTTGGGTTTGAGGGTCGCGACGGGGGCCGAGGACCTCGAGCGCACGCCTCCTTTTGATTGACCTACGGTTCCTCGCGTGTTCAGAATGTTGACGAAGTGGTGCGGGTGTACCGCCCACCAGCTGTGAATCGGCCATGGGAGATCTGGGTGAGTGCATGCCCGTTGGGACTCGAGAAAGGGGTGAGCAATATTGGAGAAGAGTAGTCCGGGGTGTTGTAGGAAGAGAGCTGCAGTTGCCGCTCACCTATGGAGCCCTCCTACACCTCGGTCTTCAAAGTTCTGACTTGAGTATTTGCTACCACCATCAAGACCCCTGCCCTCGGCCCCATGGTCATTGTTAATGTGTAGGCTGCCCATTGGGGACCCGAAAAGGGGTGAACGACACAGGACAGGAACAACTTGGGGCACTGTAGCGGAGCCACTCAGAGCGGGGCAGGACCGGCATGGCGGAGGCTGAAGGGCTGCTGCTATGTGTCGATCGTTCGTCGGACTCGGGTATAGGGGTTGAAATTAATCGAATCGTCTATTAGCGGGTTCCTTTCGAAGTTCCTTCGGGATAGGTGGAGCACCCGGACAGTGCCGCTACGCTGAGTAGGAGAATGGTCGCTATCGGGCACAACACTGGCTGAAGGCATCGATAGTTACTCTACAGATAGTGAGGATGAGAGGCGCAGATGCAGAAGGATAGCAGGAGACAAATTTGTATCAGGGCGCAGTCCTATATGAGTAAAGAGGCAAAGAGGAGCTACGAAGAAAAGAGGACCAGAGGAATTTCGATAGGAGCTCAAGGCGATATTCGCAGTTTGTTTGTCCTTGGGGTCTGGCTAAGAGGGGGAAGGCTAATCGGCCGATAACTACTCGGTCTTTTCCGAGGATTTTCTTTAGAACTAGAACGACAACAGATTGTTGCGCTATTGTAGGATCGATGCGATCGAG